ACTAATTCAGTAGTTTGGCCAGACTATCTGATAAAGGCAAGATCTGAACTTGGTTTGGGAGAGACACTTCGTTCTTTCAGATCAAAGAGCATCTCTGGTTGACAGAAACCTGTGGGAAGATGGCAGGACAGGAGCAGTGTCCATTGACTTACCTGGCTGAAGTAGAGCTCTGAATCAAAAAGCCACACAGTCACCAACAGAGAGGGAGGCTGACACACCATGGGAAAATCTCAATACTTGGTGGATGCCTTTGGGCTATATCTTGAACTGAAGAGAGGTCGATGGTGAGTGGCATTTGTTACTTGCACCCTACTCAATGGTCTACCCCACCACAGTCCCAAGAACTACAGAGCCATGGACCAAAACCCCTCAAAGTATGAGCCAAACCAACATCATCTTCTGTAAAGTTGATTACCTCAGGACTTTTGTCTTAGCATTAGAAAGCTAATGTAAACAGTGCTTTAAAGTGAGAAAATTGTTTTCTTTTAGGGGAAGGTTGAAGGGGCAGAGGACAGATGTGGAGGATGGGGGGGGGATGAGGACAGATGTGGATGGATGGGGATGAGGACAGATGTGGAGGGTGGGGGGATGAGCGGGACTGGGGTGCATGATGTGAAAGTCACAAAGGATCAGTAAAAGGTTTTTTAAAACTGGGAAGATTTTACCTGGGTTTCTGGCTTTTCTCAAAGCGTATCTACTGTATGTACTCTGTATCTGTTGTCTACCTGGCAGTCACTTAGTATCTATATCCGCTATTGGATGGATTGGTTCTGTGTAACAGTGCTTGTGTTTAAGGAAGCCTTATACAGCAGCATGACACTGGGTCACAGTGTGTGCCTCATCATCCACCTACCCTCACTTCATGTCTCCTGTGGGCATTACATCATCTTACGTCATCACGAGAACAGTGCAGGACAGTATCAGTAGACACTACTACATACAAAAAACAAGCGCAGTTGCCTATTATCCAGAGATAATGACAGATATTTCAGTGTGTTAACATTTGTTATTTAAAATAGAATCCCAGCCCATGTTGATTCCCACCATTCTCTATGCACTAAACATACCTTTCCCATAAAGTTATTTATTTATTTATTTATATTTATTTATTTATTTATTATACCTTCTATAGCCTTTCTGTTCACTGCTACACTCTCTGGGTTTGAACGTCCTAACACATAGGAGGTACTCAGTGTGTCTGGATTATGATGAGTCAAGGTCATGACTATCTATATATGTGCATTTGTGTGTGTGTGTGTGTGTGTGTGTGTGTGTGTGTGTGATTATCAGAACTACATTCATATGTGATAGGTAATTCTAGGTTTTTCATTATTTAGTCTTATATTTCAGCAAGCCACTGATTTATTTACAACCCTTCATCGATTTCTCATTATCCTTAGAACAAAACTCAAAATCCTCATTATGTATCTAAACCCTTTTGTCTTCTCTTCGGAAAGACCCACAGTCCTAATCTTTGGGGCTAAGGCATCTCAGAAACCTTCGCTTCCACCACAACACAGCTTCCCCATGGGGCTGAATCTTACGTCATAGATCCCCATAGTATCTAGATTGTCTGCTTTCAAAAGCCTCATTGCTTTGGTATTTCTTGCACAGTGCTTTCTGGATTTGACAATAAAGTCTTTATAAAAACAGATCTGAAATGGTCTTGAGTATCACTCTAGGATTCCTAGAGCCTAGTTCAGTGTCTGGAGAACAGCAAAGGCAATATTAATAATTGCACCTCTCAACACAGGAAAACATGCCCCTCAGACACTCCACACTCCTTTACACACATTTTAACAAATGTACGTTATCCCTGTTGCTCTGCCTTGACGTATCCTCCTGTCACAAACATTTACCTGCAGACATTTATATATGTCCAAATTTTCATTCCTTTCCCAAGTATTTAGAAGATGTGTGGGTTTCTTGTTAGTTATCTTTTTAGGTTCCTAAAGCAGATGATGGAATTAAAAAAGAAACAAACTGACTTTGTTGTGTATTGTTACAAATAAAAATTCTTTCTCCAGCGTTGTCTCTGCCTCTCTTCTGGGTCCTGCCTGCACTTTCACTAGCAGCAGAAATACAACAAAAAATAAGACAAAGAGCTGCCTCGTTTCATTGAATGAGTGAGGTATCTTACTGTAACTCAGCATCCAGCATTTCTGTTCCTGTGGCTCAGTGATGGGGGCCATGGGATGCTCCTGATGCATGAAGAATGGGATTTAGGCAGTGGGCCAGAGTTCCTTCACTCTTAGGCTCAAATGGAGTCGAATAGTCTGATTTGTTTTCCCATTTTTCAGCACATCTGGTTCATTTGAGGTTCCAGTTCTCTAGCATGAGGGTAGAAAGAGTCCTTGGATTCCTTCAGGGAAACGACCATGTAAACAAGTGTACACAGTGATAGACTAGTGAATATTGAATCCTCATTTGCATCTGTTTTCTTTGATGATGAGTGTGGGAGATTTGGAAAGAAAGGATGAAGCTTACTCCAAGTTGCAAACATCTATCAGAGAAATGTAGCTAGAATTTTAGGCAGTGCTAAATCTCACCTGAGATGCTCAGCCATGATTTTTAGTGAGGCTGGTCAGCAGTGGGATTTGCTTTCATCCAGTTCCCAAAGCCATTCATGTAGACGTGTGTAATCAGAGTGCAGTTGGACTTAATATTTAAGGCTTTGCCAATTTAGTTCAACAGAAGAAAGAATGTTCTGGGTGAGATGGGAAGGTAGCCCAGGAGGGATACTGATTCTGGGAAATTTGGTGGTCCTGGTGCTATCCAGGGTGAATAAAAGATGTGTTGGTTACAGGCTGAGATCATGTCACTTAAATAAATAAATGGCTTTATTATGCAGTAAAATAACAACACAGTGAATGTGTGTCTCGATCAGTGAAAGTCAAAAAGTCACAGCCAAGACATACAAGAGTGGATTTCTATTGCCTGAAGGCATGAGAACGCAGGCTAAACAGCAAGTCTCCCATGACAAAGAACAGACAGGGAATTTACTTCAGAAAGCTTCAGCATATTCTTCTGGAAAAATCACTTCTGGGTGGGTGTCTAGTTTAGGATGTACACTACTGGCCATGTTTAGTTAAGGGGATGCTCAAAAAGGAAAGATGTCAGACAGTAATGTCCTCTCCAAGACGGCTGGAAGATTGACCAAGTTGCTTAGCTTATCACAGATACTGAATGGGAAATCGCAGGCAAACCTAGCTTGTGTCTTCATGATCCCTGGAATCACAGTCACTTGAGGTTGGAGAAATCAAACGGCACTCTAGGCCAGCCAGGCAATAGGAAAGGGCAGTCAAGAATCAGAGCGGGGCACAGAGGATCCCCACCCCACCCCACCCCCACCCCCACTCACACACCCACACCCAGTCCAGAAGCTCCCACAGTTAAAATTCTCCCTCTTTGTTGAAATTCCTTCCTCCCTCAAAGCTACCCTGGCCACCAGGATATGGGTGTGTGGAGTAGCCTGGACTTTTGCCCTCCTAGACCTGCTCCAGACCTTTCCCCAGATTTCCAGGCAAAGGGTCCCTTTAAAAGGGTGTTAAGAAGGATCTGGAAACTGACTATCCTGTGTCTGTTAACAAAGACAGGCTAGAATTGATTCCGTTTAATAGTTCTGAGGTAGGGCAAGAGAGTGGCTGTATGGCTTAGCATTTGCAGTTGTAGCAGCTGTCTGGATCCATTTGTAGTGGGACGCTTTGACTAGTCTACAGATGAAGTTGGAAAGAGAGTCGGCAGACAAAGTAGAGGAAGGCTGCTGGAGATGTCAGATGACTCCTGTGGAAGCAGCTAGTCCTCCAGACTGAAGGTCCTCTAACTTTGGTCTATTTACTCTTTGGTTCTCCAATGGACCATGTGAGGCAGCTTCGACTCTGAGAAGTCACATGCTATTATAAACCCTGACATTACCTCAGCATCACCTGCCACTGGAAGACAAAGGTGGTGGTCTAAGTCCCTGCCCTACAGAGCACCACCAGATTTCTAAAGGAATGCTCCACCTTAACCTGGGCTAGCATTCTTTTATAGATCAAGAGTCTTCAAGAGGTCCATCGATGGCATTCCCTTTGAAGAGAACAGATAGCAATTAGCCCAACACAAGCTCACAACTAACAAGTTAGGTCTGGTAAGTACTCATGCTGTATTAACAGGTAGGTAGTTACTCTTCTCCATTACCCCTTAAAGAATTCAATCTCTAGATGGACTTCTGAAGTCTCCTTTTTCTAGCCTTACAGTCTAGCAGTGATGTTTTCATTGTCCTGGAAGAGTGGGAGGACACAGTGAGGCTGGACTAGTTGTCCAGACAACCCCAGAACAGATGCTCTCACTCGTAACCTTCAGTCTCAGATGGGAAGTACGCAAAGTAGGAAAGGAGTGTAGCCGAGCAAACGGTTAGCAGAAACTAGAGTTGAGGCAGGGCTGAGGAAGAGGGTGACCCACCCGGGTCACGAGCTCAGGTTCACCTCTGGAATTAGACCAGAGCTCCCCTCCACTGCCCAGTCACTAAACTTGGTACTTTGACTAAGATGCCCAGAACTTGTTCAAGTCTTAAAATTGATGATGATCATGACATAGTCTTTAAGTATCTGCTCAGAGACCCTGGGATAACAGAGTTCAGAGCCATTGTAGAGTGTCACTGAAGTGCAATGGCTTCTGGGGGATGAAGAGAAAAGGGTCAAGGCCAGTGTGCTAATTTTAATGAGGCATGCCACCACTAACCTCCACCACCAGAGGCTGTGGCATGTAAATATTTGATCCCCAATTGGTGATACGATTTGGGGAGGTTTAGAGGTGTGGTCACCATTTGCTGTTTCCTGCTTCTGGTTCTAGATGCAAACACTCAGCTGTTTTGCCACCATGTCTGATGGCTGCCACTCCCTGCCATGATGCTGATGCTGACGACGGACTCTTACCTTTGGGAACCATGAACCCTAAGTTGCTTTTGGTCACGATCTTCAATACAGGAATAGAAAAGTAACTGATGAACCTACTTTTGATGATAATATTAAAAGAGGGCAAGTAATTTTATTAAATATAAGTAAATTCAAGACACAAAAGTTACCAACATTGACACAGAATTATGACTTTTTTTGAACTCTAGTTTGTACTAGGTACTATTTGAGTTTTAGAACTGATGCTTGCATGGGCTTCTATTCCCCCAAACACCCACAAACTCACTGCCCTGGAGTAAAGAGAGACAAAAGGAAAACAAAGATACCAGATTCTAGATATTTGTACAATGATTCTAAAAATTCAAAATTTAAAACTAGACCAGAATATTTACATGTTTTATTAAATTTACAATCAGTAATATAATCAAATACACAATTATATACAAGGATTATATACATTTTGCCCAGACTTTTACATCACAGTACATAGTTTCCATTAGAAATATTGTATACATTTATCACCAAACAATAAAACCCAACAACAGTAGTGTTACAGCACCTGTTAGTACAGACGGCTTTTTCATAAATTACATCATAAGAAAATATACGGCTGTAAATTGGGCTTTTAAAAATGTCTTTTATAAAATCTGAACATACAATGTTTCATTCACAGAATGTTTTTTCTATGTTCTGACTGTAGCCTTGTCCACAAAACAACCAGCTGGAATAGTTACTAAATGCTACCTCCCTCTAAAATGATAAGCACTGTGTGAATTACTTAGGCTGAGCTTTCTTTGTGATGAATCTGGCATGGAGTTTGGTGAGAGAACAAATGCTGGCTTTGCTCTAAGAAAGGTTTATATGATGGTAATTTAAGTCTGAAAGAATTCCCGAGAAAATAATTACATTAGTGAAATTGAAGTCAGAGAGTGCATAATTTTTCATTTAAAAATATCTACACTGTAATGAAAAAGGAAAAGTAAAATTACAAAATAATTTGTTCTAAAACAATTATACTCTTTTTGGAAGCTTATTACATAGGTTAAAAAGAAAAAAGAAAACCTACCTAACAAAATACCCCACCCCAAACATATCTAGTAAATTACTGTTCTTTCACATTTAAATTTTATGGGGAAAATATTGCAAATTAGGGCATATAATTTCAATGGAGTTTTTATGTGAGAAAAAAAATACCTAATTTTACTTGGTAAACAAGTTTTAAAACTTGAAAATACCTGAATCAAATACTTGCTCTAACAGCTTAACCTTTAGCTTCCAGGTAATATCCTCAACTTGATTCCATGTTTGTAAACATTATATAAATCTTTCTTAGTCAAACGATTTTATGGCTGTGGTGATCATTTCAGCTCTATTTCTAAGCAGTCAACATTTAACTGAGGTAGACCAGATGTTTCTAAACTCAGGGTCTCAGAATTCCCTGAATCTTCAGCAAGTAAATAAAGTATCTATGAAAGGTTCTTAACAAACAATATCAACAACAATGAAAAAAAAAACATATTTAAAAAAAATCTATGCTGTTGGAATTTTCTAGTGAACTCAAAGACTACGTTGTGGCAGTATGTCAAATACAAAAATGGATGGAGAATCCGTTAGAATGCTGTGTTCTGAAGCTGAACACATTCCTCCTTTCCTAAGTAGGGGAAACTGAGTATTAGTCCTTCTAGGTAGTAAGGAAAATGTCTTAAATTTATTTCTTTAAAGGATTTGGTTTTTTTAAACAAATCAATAGGTGCACCTAAGCCTTAATGAAGGGCAACAGCACCTCCTAGTGGCCAAAGGAATGGTAAGTGGCAGTAAGCTGGCTTTTCCTAGTGTGTCACGGGCTCCCTCCCCTTCATGCCATTAAGTTCTCAAGGGGAGAAAATACGCAGCTTTGATAACTTAGCAGAGTTGATTTAGTCAACAATGGCTTTGAGCTACAAATATAAACTCAATCCATAGAAGGCTCTGTAATCAGTCTCAGAGGAACAGCTGTCCCCTTTCTCCAAGCCCCAGTCCTGTAAATCAAGTCAAGTAATTAAGCATCAGCTATTTTGGCAGCTTTGCAATGAAATCAAACGAAGCACATCCACCCTCCTCTATACTCTGTATGCATTGCGGTTCTATCTTCTCGCACCAAACTTCACATGCAGAGAGACTAAAATACCCATTTTTGCTGTCAGGTTTAACTACGAGTTAATAAAGGCCTTGTCACTACCTCTGTCCCCAGGGAATTCTCTAACATTTATTATTCACGGACCGATTCTGTTTAGTTGGACCTTTTGAAAACAGGTATTTGTCCCTTATAAAAGGGCACATTCCCCTGGACCTAAGACACACTGTACACACAGACACAACCACAGCACAGCACAGCACAGCACAGCAGTGCTGTCTTCCATAGCTCCATAGATAGTCTAAGTCATTCAGTACCTCAAAACCATGTTTTAGAGAAAAGTTATTGTGTAATGCCATGGTAAAAAAGGAATTAAGTCCCTTAAATTTTCCTTTAGAAGCAATTAAAACAAGTTTAAAAATAAATAAAATGAAAAAAAAACCACATGATTTCAATGTAGAACTATCAATAAGCAAAACAAAAAATAATTAAATGTGACCAGCTCCAGACTACCACCCCTCAAAAAAAAAACAAACAAACCTTTTTCTTTTACTTATATGGCTATATAGTTTTTTACACAGGTCACCAGAGACTAATTTCAAGTCCACATCAGAAGGAGGAGTATTTGTTAAAACAAAACTAAACAAACCTAAATCCATGATTTAACAGAAAATGTGACAGACTCTAGCTTCAAAGGAGAAAGACAGCAGTGGCCCCGGGGCTATAGACCTCCACCATGGTTTCTCATGGCTCTATAGACAGGGAACTGGGACAGCGCTTGGAGATGAGCCTGCGGTTTCAAACTGCATACTAACATGGGATGGAGTAAGGCTGATGGCTAGAGTAGCCACCTTAAGAGAAATGAACTAGAAAAAATCTACCCCACAAGGATCTAATGCTGAGTCCTGTTTAGAGTAGTCCCAGCTTCCCCCAGGGCAGTCCAACGGGAAGTTATATTGCAACATTACAGTTTCTCCTTCTCTATTTACCCCAAGCATTAAGCAACCAATTTCCACACTATCTATAGGACCCTCCTGGCCCCATAGTAGGTCTTTATGGAGACCTATGGAAAAAGTACACTGGCTTCACCTTTGGTTTAAATGCTAAGGTCATTGTTGGGAGAGGAAAAGAAATCAAGTTGTCTTGGCCACTGTCACTGACTGAAGCAGGAAAGAGTGATGAGCAGACACTGTTGTTAACAGAACGTATCTGTTTCAAACACTTAGAGTATTTCTGTGAAGGCAGCAAAGCCACAGTGCCACAATACTCATTCAACTCTTCCCCAAAGGGCTCTAACCTCAAACCCAAGGCAGTGAAGCTTTCTCCAATTAGAAAGCTACACTGACTCCTGTTCCCACTTTCCATTAGCTGAATTTGTTTCTTGTCTACTCAGGAATGGCCAGTCATCTTTCCCTGGCCTGGGAGCTGCAGGTTATGTGATACCACCATGTGAGGAGTTTTGAGTTTCCACTTTGGACAGGACAGTTTCAGCGAGGTCAGCTCTAACACAGCATGCTCCAGATTCCTATGGTAACCACTTACCCCAGTCAGAACGCGCTTGAGCAATGCTCAGAGCCTCCTAGGAGAGCCTGCTTGGTATAGGGTGTTGAAAACCACAGTTTACCTCTTCTTGTTAAATATCTACCACCAGAGTCTTTACAGAGAGTCATAGTTCGTCCTTCTCCATCATTTCAAATGCTTCTATATCTTCATTCCAGTCTGCTAATATGGAGTCTATAGGCTGGGCCTTGGTACCCCAGCTGACATTAGGACTGGAATCTTCTTCTGTTTCTGATTGTTCTTGAAGTTGGTTATCTAAGTCTGTACATTCACCATCGAGACTTGTAGTCTCATGGTTTTCTGTAGAACTAGGTATCTGTTCAGAAGAGGTGAAGCCGGCAGCTTCTTCACTGTCTGCTAGAGATGATGACTCTGAGTGAGAATCAAGAGGGTTTTCAGGGGTCTCCTGATCAGCCAAGTCAACTGTCTGAGAAAGCAACGGCATCTGCTCTGCACTTTGATTCTGAGAATCATTTTCAGAAGATGGCTGGTCTTCATTTTCCATTTCAGGGTCTGTACAGGAAAGAAACAAACACATCACTCTCCCTCTTAAAAACTGCACCACACTTACAAAGTCACCAGGTTTTTGCAATAAAATAAATAAAGCAGTCGACCGATGCAGAACAGAAAGCAGTGGCACTGAAGTCAAGGTCTTACAATCCCACTTTACATGTAGCTATGGGTAGAATGTGCTGACAGTGAAAATCAATGTCACTGCAAATGGAAAGGAATGATAACTAGCAGCGTAACACTGACTTGGGTGAGGATTAACCAGTAACAAAAACACTGAACATTTCTGTTAAAACGCATATAAAATTTCAACACCATGACTAGAGATGGCTCAGGGGCTAAGTGTGCTTGCTGGACAATGATTAGGATGGGACTGATCCCAGCACCCATGTAACAAGCTGGCGTCTCATAGATACCTGTAACTCCAATTCCAAAGGATCCTATGGCCTCCATGTGCATGCGCAAGCATGAGAGCGCGCGTGCGCATGCGCGCGCACACACACACACACACACACACACACACACACACACAAAATCAGGCATACACATAAAATTTATTAATACCTAAGTTCAAGAAAGATTGCACACAAGAACATCCTAAATGCAATAAATTTTTAATATTTGAATAGCATATATCATTGCTAAAACTTGAAATCATATTTGTTGGAAAAGTGAAATTACCACTCAGTGTTCCACTTAGATTCAAACAAAAAAACCTGGTTACAGGTATGAATATGACTCATCAAAATATTTTCATAAAAACAAGAACTGAGGATCTGAGATTGTTAATGAAACTATTACTACATATCTATGAACTTTAAACAGTTATTCTGGGGCTGGGGAGATGGCTTAGTGGTTAAGAACAGTAGCTGTTCTTCCAGAGGTCCTGAGTTCAATTCCCAACACCCATATGGTGGCTCACAACCATCTATAACTGTGGTCCCATGGGATCCAATGCCCTCTTCTGGCGTGCAAATGTACATGCAGGCAATATAAACACATCTTTTTTTAAAAACTAGTTATTCTAAAATTCACTAGGAGCCTGAGCAGGTACAGTTTTTGTGATGAGCATACAATATAAAAGCCCTGGAAGTACTCTGAGTCCCCACAATACAGTATTTAATTGGCCTTGTCACCCACTGGCCACATCTCCTTCAGCCTCTTTCTGCAATGCACCCAGGAGAACTCTCTCAGCTGCCTGGTGCCAGAGAAAAAATGAGGAGTGAAAACTAACACTGTCTGTCTTTAAGCATCTCATAGCCAACTAGAAAACAATACCCACAAAAACTGGCTACGTATATATGTAAGCGAAATAGCCCACATTTAATCAGGGAGACGGGCATGTGCTACAAGGAAAGCTTGCAGTAAGAGCATCTGAGGGCTCCTTCAGAAAGGAAGCAGAGCTTGGGGTCAGAGAGGGAAGAAAACAGACCTACTACTAGAAAAAAGAATAAAAGCATTACCTATATTTTTAGACTGTGACTGTCTAATGAAACTAAGGTGTGGTGGTCTGAATGAAAATGGTCCCAGAGCCATTGAAAGCTGCACTATGACGAGGTGTGGCCTTGTTGGAGGAAGTGCATCACTGGGGTGAACTTTGAGGTTACAAATGCTCAAGTCTGGGCCAGTATCACTTTGTCTTCCTGCTGCCTGCTGACATAGAACTCTCAGCTCCCTCTTCAGCCCCAGGTCTGCCTGCATGCTCCCATGCTTCCTGCTGTGACAATTATGGACTAAGCCCCTGAAAACTGTAAGCCAGTCCCAATTACATGTCTTCCTTTATTAGAGTTGCCACAGTCATGGTGTCTCTTCACAGCAATAGAACATTGACTAAGACATAAACCAAATCTAATTTTAAGAACTACTACCAAAGTTAATAAAAAATTGTAAAGAAAACCAAGTGCAAGCATCATTAACTCCTCAACAGAAGCACCAGCAGCTAAAAGTGAAATTGTGCAGTCTTTCATAACATACATTTTTTTAAAAACCTGTGAAACAAATTTATGACAGTATACAGCTCATATTGCTTAAAATATACAATTATAATACTAGTAAAAATAAGAGCTGATTAAATTCATAGATATGTTCCAGAACAGGTCATTGCCACATGTAACAGTTTTCTATGCACTATAAAAAATATGCAAATGCACAATTTCAAAATGAATCTCATTTCTACTTCCTTTGTTTTTGAACTAGAACTGAAATTCTAAACAGATTCAGTAAGAGAAGAGCTACCATACAAAATGCATTTAAAACAAAACTCGAGTTACTTGCACAGGAATAAACAGATAGGTCAGAAGAACAGAAGTGCAAGCGCTGCGATTTGTAAAAGTCTGGGGACCCAAAGAATCAGAAAGAGCAGGAGCAGCAGCCAAGCCAGCCTGAGCTCTGAGAGGAACAAAGACTCAAAGGAGTTGAGTCAGCCATATTACATCTAAGGCACCTGTCACCCGTCTAAAGGGTGCAACGTTGATTCAGAAATGGCATATCAGAAAGCCAAGAAACAAAGACTGAAGACAAGTCCAAGGAACATTAATGGGTCTTACTAATAAAAGGGGAAGATAATGTTGGTGAAAACTTGAGAGTTTGAATGTTATACAATCATTCACTCACCAGCATATTCTATGGTAACTAAAGCAAAGCTCACGTAGTTCAGAAGAGCATAAATTAAATAATCATGCCATATAATCATTGACCTATATTAGAAAAAAACTCTTGTATTCTGCCAAGAATGAGGAAAACTGTCATACAGAAGGTGGCATTTGATTTGAGAATAGAATGGTTGAACTTCTCAAAGAGGAAAAGAGCCACAGGGATGTGAGACACCAACAGTGACCCACACAGAACCAGCCTGTTAGAGGAGACAGGGCAGGTGGGCATGGCTCCCTGACCATAACGCTGGGCTGCTGCTCTCCAGGCAGAGAGCCTTCCGCTCATGTCTGAGGCTACCCTTGCTGGAATCAGCCGTTTACCAACGGTCTTGCACAGTCCAGCGCCAGGGCTGCTACACTGAAGCCTACTTCGGATGGGTTATTTGAGGACTGAGACTGCTTGGCTTAAATTCAGGGCGGTTTATAAGACAGGCCTCTTTCTTTTAATCTCTCTTCCATTTTCTGTCTGACTGTTTACCCAACAAACACAACAGTAGCTTTGAAAGCATTTGTCTCTATCCTTCAGGGCACAGAGGCCTGCCTGTTCTGTAGGCTACAAACATGAGAATGTACTGGAACTTTAAATGCTGATGTTTTTTCCCCAATAATAACAAGGAGAAGAGGAAAACTGACCCTAAATTGTAAGCTGCATCAATTTAAAGATAACCAACACACTTGTTTGTGAGATGCTGGAATTATTAAATATCTTTCAAAATTCAAAATATGAAGCAATGAGACACTAAGAGACACAGTATTAAAACTGTGTGTTGATAACTTTAAAAGTGTTAACAGTTTCCCCAAGAAGCAACATTTCTACTTGATAAACTTGTAGGGCTTTTGCCTCTGAAGACTATATAATAAATGCTGTTGCTAGCAGGAAGAAGAAGAGCTTCAGAGATATACATCCTAAGAGTCAAACCTCACAGACAAAGGTGGGTACAGGAGGGAGCTTGTCTGGTGCTTCTAGTTCTTATATTATAAAGTACAAAGGACTTCTTATCAACAGGGATGTGACTTCATTTTGGAAGGATGATTTGAAGACATTTTGCTGCTTGGATTAGGTACTTCATACTTGAAGGTCCTTACGTAATTCTAACTAGAACTCATGATGCAGAGCTAAGAGGCAGGAAGGTCTTCTGGGTGTCATTCCACGGCTGTCAAAGTGCAGGTGAAGAGCTACCATACTACAGTTGTCTGCTGAGTGTGTCCAAGTGTGGGATTCTGATCCGGGCTTCAGAATCTAACTCAGCACAGTAGAGGATGCAGGAGCTTCCACTTCGACCAAGCTCCACATCAGCCAGTCCTGATGCTGGCAAAGCACATGATGTAGTTGGTGACAGTAAGGGACAAGTTACTGATAACCACTACAGAATTTAACTTCTTAGAATCTTATCCTAAGTGAAGAAAGTGGCTGATCCAATAGAGTTAGTATCACTGATTTATCTTACAGTGATAAATATGAATAATTATAACTTGTTGGCTTGGCTAACACAGTTAGACATTTCTCAAAGCCCTATTATATACACAAACCTTAAAACCTTTTATCAAACGAGCACTATAACAAACAGCTCAATAAAGTCTTAGCCTATCAAAGTGCTCTAAAATATCATTTACATAATGCCTTCTTAACTGCATAGTTTTTAGGGACTCCTACTCCTTAGCAAGTTTTTTCTAGTAAGACTGACCGACATCCTTACACTCTTCCTGGTGTGGGAGCACTTGCTTTATCATAACCACACAGTCTTAACAGATATGTACCCCTCACCTCCACAGGAGCTTGCAAACAAGCTAATATTTTAAATATTTTATTTTGTATGTAAAAAAAAAAATGATGCAAAGTAATCACTTCTTCTATAGCAATGTTGTTGTTCGGGTGACTCGAGCATGGGCATGGGTCAGTGAACTCTGCTAGAGTATGGAATATAGAATAGAACCAATTATGGAAGGAGCCATAAAGAATTATTACTATTGGATAACTGACTGAACATGGAAGTTATAAATTACATTAAATCATATATTATGGTACTCAGTGAAACAAAATTATATATATAATAATTGGTTTATTAAAACAAAATTATATATGCATGTGTGTGTACTACACACACATGCATATATAATTGTTTTTAATGCAAGATACTTACTACTGTTAATAATGTAGCTTGGAATCATTTTACCTTTGAATATGGCTGCTGAATTCCAATGGCAGCACAAGAAAGGGAAAGCAGAGGCATTACAGAGTTATACAGTGGCAGTAACTTGCCTGCGCTGGACGCACAGCAGAGAAGGGAGGGAGTCAATTTTGAAAAAGGGCCCCGGAAAAAGGAAATCAAGTACACAGAAGGGTTTGAGAAGCTCAGGACCTGTTCATATTCTATCTCCATGCCTACACATCCTTACACACCCTACTCATTCACTCCACTGCTCTGAAATAGCTGACAATTCAAAGACTCTCAAAGAACAAAACAGTACAAGAAGACAAAACACTGACTAGGATAGCATTGTACTCTTAGCATTTTTAAAAAGATGTCTCATCTGGAAGTCCTAGTGAATTAAGTTGGTTCTGAGTATTTGTTAACACTCTCCGGACTATCAACAACCCCTTATATACCATACTCATGTAAAGGAGATGGGCGAGGACAGTTCCCTCTACGATTCGGCCTAGAATGACAGCTACCAGGAGCAGGATCATAGCCTACATCTGACATCCCACTTCCCCTCCGCTCCCCATTGCCTCAGGTGTGAAAACTGTGCAGCCTTCACACAGTGGTTTCAAAGAACTTTCAGATTACTAACAGCATTTGTGACTCCTGTAGTGTACATTCCAGTGAGATAAATGCTGCACTTCTAATGCCTTTATCAAGAGTGGCCTTGACAGTACAGGTTGCTGCCGGACCACTACAACCATATTGTATACCACACCCTACATGTAAAAATGTAATTCTAAAAGCATTCCAATTCAGCCAGCAAAACAAATGTTTTATTATTTATGATAATAAATTACTCTTCATATTTCCTAATATTAGTAAATTATTAAAAACAACTTATTTATTATTTATAATTTAATATATATTATATATAATTAAAATGAAAATAGTAAAAAAATAAATGCTAATAATATTAATAAAAGAAAACAATAAATTACTATTGTTTCCAAGAGAAAAGTTCTAAACCACCATCTAAAATTGTTACTTGCTTTACCAGTGAACTAAAGATAAACCAGCAGGCAGGCCTCCATGACTGGTCAGAGTCTGCTCCTGGGCTGAAGAGGTCTAGCACACTAGGCTGGCCGTTACCTCGGTCTCTCGCTTTGTCAGACAGGAGCACCTCCACCTGCTCGTGCTCTCGGATGGCGTCCAGGATGATGCTTCCTTCCTTGCTGAACAGGAACAGCATGGGGATCTTTATGTCATCCGTGTCCTTCCCGTCACCCGCCATCTGGAACAGGGGCGCTGTGTCACTGCTGCTCCCCTCATTGTCATCTGGATAGAAAACAAAGAGGGAGGAGTCACTGCTTGTCACCTGCTGCTGACGACGGAGATGCTCTTGTGTGCCAAAAAATGAGTATAATCTTTAGATGAACTAATTTTATGATTTATCCTAAGGAAATAATTGAAGCAGCAAAAACTCTAACCTCAAAGAAATATACTGAATTGTACAATTATAAACCGGTCTCAATAAATTATGATGAATTACTTGACACAGAAAACAGTATATGAAAAGCACAGCACACGAATTTCATGACTGGATTATTTTTCTATGTGGAAGGAAATCCTACATGTGAAAGATTTTAATGACCAGGATCACACACGTACAACTGTGACTGAACTTTTAGATTTCCTCTAATGGATTTGTTACAGTTTGAACACTCCTACTTCAGAACTTTAAAAGGCTCTGAAGTCACGAAGTTTAGACCAGGGATCACTTAGCTAGTAATAAGCTGAACTAAACAGTAGTATTATTTCACACTGGTTAAATGTCAGTTAAATTCTCTGACAATGTAAATGTCAGTCACATCCACTCCCAGTATCACACACTAGTGTCCCTAATAAAAGACAGTCCCATCCCTTATGTTTCACTTCATAAGCCTAACTAGGTGGGAAATGTGTGCCTTCCTCTTAGTAATGACTGATCGGACAAAGGATGGCTGTCTGACCCCTGACCTGCTGTGATCCTAGAACTGCCACACAGAAACACTGCTTCTGCTAGTAAACAGTCCATGTAAGTGACTCACACTGTGTACCTGGCTGCCTTTTGGGAACTGTGAACAGAGAGGGAGAGGGAGCAGGTGTGGGAGGAGGCACCGCTGCAAAAGACCCAAAACTTAGACAGCACCATGAAGAGAAAGGTGGTACCTGCCAGCTATGGCAGCTCTCAGTTCATCAAGTTTACCAGCTGTATGTCCTACTCTTGGGCTGAAGGAAAATCATCCCTTTCCATAGAATAAACAACCTCCCTTCTTAAAATAACAAGTAAACTATTACCTCCTGCAGTCACACGATTTTTAAGATAATTTGTATTTTTAGTCCTCATAATAAAAAAAATAATAAACAAATTTACTCTATGGAAAAAATTGCTTTATCAGGAAAAAAACTTAGAGGAAAGAAGTCACACACATTAAATTTCTTGTTTTTAATTAAAATTTCTGAGAATAACAACAACAACAAAAAAATCTCATTTTTTGTTCCACAGAACCCAGTGTAGGATTTTGCACCAATAGCTACTAAGGAAAATGTCTGACCTGACAGTCTTTATATATCATAGGGCATCATGAAGACTCTGGCCAGAAACTGGGATAATCTAATACACAGATATTTTTTAAAAGATTGATGTACACATTCTACACTATGTTTTATACTTTAAATCTCTATTTTTAAGTCTTGGTCAGTAAGAAATGCTCCCAAAACAGTGGTAATAAGACATTAAGTTCTTCAGTAAGTTCTCATGGTGAAACTAGCCACGGACAAGCAGGATGGCTGAGGGGCTGGGGGGGGGGCTCCGTTAGTACAGCACGTTCCACACAGGCATGAGGATGCGGATCTGGATCACTAGTACCTGCATACAAGCTGGCTACTGTGACACACATCTGAGACGCTAGCATGGGAGGCAGCCAGACAGGCAGGCCTTCATCGCCACTGGCCAGTCAATCTCCCTAGTTCATGAGCTCTGGGCTCCGTGAAAGATTGTTTCAAAAAATAAGATGGAGAACATCTGGGACGACACTAACACACTGACCTCTGGCCTCCACGCACATGTGCATGCACATTCAAACCTGTACATATACACACTTAAAAAAAAAGATTTAAGTGAGGAGTCAGAAAAAAAATCTCTTTTTTTTGTTTTGTTTTGTTTTGTTTTTTGGGAACAGGTTTCTCTGTGTAGCTCTGGCTGTCCTGGAACTCACTCTGTAGACCAGGCTGGCCTGGAACTCAGAAATCTGCCTACGTCTGCCTCCCGAGTGCTGGGATTAAAGGCGTGTGCCACCACTGCCCGGCAGAAAAAATGTTTTGTAACTGGCCACATGAAGCTGTTGGAACTACCCAATGGTACAATTCAAAGCACTCAGAGACAGTATGGACACAAATCACTTTGGCTGTGTCTCAGCAACACCTAAACTGAGACAAAAGGTAGGAGGTCCACACCCAATTTCTCCTAAAAATTTTAACTAATAAAATTTACTCACTTAAACCAACATTTTAGAACCCATATAGGATAAAGGGAATAGTAAATAATTTTTGCTGAAATAAATCTAAATATTTTAAGTATTCAGATTTTGTTTTTCATGGTGCTAGAGTTAAAGTGGCCCCCGACCCCAGCCCTTTAAATGTCTTATGTACTCTCAATGTAGAAATGGATGCTGGTTAAAGAAAAGAAAAAATGCAAAGTGAACTTTCCCAGTCACTTCACGACTGATGGGGGATTCCAGTCTTCCACTTCTTTCTAAACGCAAATGCCTTGATTATCAGCAGGAATATAAAATTTTATAGGTCTAATGCTGATAATCATGGCTTGTTGGGGGGAAAGGGAGGGTAAAGAAGAGCAAAACTCACAGGCTGGCACTGCAGGTGGCTGAGTGCGTTCTTACCTGGGGACTTTGGGTCTCAGGGACAGTTTCTTTTCCAGAGTGTGGGTGTTTTCACAGCACTGACTCTGCCCTTGCACCTCACCCCAAGCATTTTCGCTGACATCAATATACAGAAACAAGTTCTGAATTTTCAAGAAATGATCACATCACTGAATCATCTCTCCTTTACATTGTCAAAATATAAATAACCTGAACATCCCTTTGACAAGATTTTTAAAAAATAAAAGGAGAAGGTCCCAATCATCTCCTCCACCCAATACAGTGACACAGGGGACAACTCACCAATCACAATGCCTCCAATGGCGCCAGCATTCTGGATGTTGCGTGCCTTTTCTGCAAACATGCACTGTCCTCTTTGTATCAAGGCAATTTTTCCCATCACTGCCTCAGGGTTGGTGAGCTCTGAACAACCATTATATGGTTTACTGCTTGCAACAAATCCTCTTGTCTGTCAGAAATAAAAGCAACCTAAATCATCTTCTTCAATTACAACCTAGTCATTGAACTTTAGTATTGTGAGCTTTAAGGGAAGGGCTCGCTCTCCCTCCCTCCCTCTCTTCTGAGTCTGTGGACACATACAAAATCTACAGATCATCTGTCTCATCCACCATCAGGAGCTATTCACCATCTTTTGAGACTGGGTTTCTCACAGAACTTGGGGATCATAGGCTGGCCAAGGGATCCTCAGAGAGCCTCCTGTTTCTGCCCCCAAGTGCTGGGATTAAAAGAGGGCACTAACATGCCTGGCTTTAATGCGGGTGCTTAGGGATGGATGCAGGTCTGCATGTGTGCACAGCAAGCACTCTAACAACCGCAGCCACTCAGCCAGAGAGCCACTTAAGAACCCTTTAATTAAAATGCAGGAGGCTGGATCCTCAGGTAATGCTGTGTTGTGCAATGCTGGGGACTGAAGCCAGGGTCTCGCTCAGATGAGTATGTGTTTCCACCACTGAGTCCCCCAACTTCTACACATAAAGCTACTAAGGAAGAGACAAAGAAGTCAAATACTTACTATTTAAACTCCAGTAACCTTACTGGAGTGCACATACCTCTTTGTGTTTAGAGAGATCCAGCCCAAACTGAGCGGGTCCAGCAGTTAAGACTACCCTGCCAAAAAACGGGTGGGAGATAATCTGGACAGCTCGAGGAGGCAGCTGCTGCTCCTTCTGTTGCTGACTGGACAGCTCTATCATCTCCTGCATGAACCGCAACCCATCTTCAGCATCAATTGAACTAGCAGCCTATGAGAGAAACAGATTCGGTGGAGCTTAGCTGTCCTCCTGTAAATCTCCCCATCCTTTTGACTTCCTAAACTACAGACTTGTGCGTGGAAGTTCTCTCCTTTTAGCTTAGGTTCCCACTAAATATCTGCAATCTAACTTGACTTCAATACACTACTTTTTTCAATTAAATTTTCTGAAATCAATTGTCTGCAACTTTTCTCAGTGTCTCTTTCCTACTATACATGCCGACTCTGGGGAGACTTGAAACTGTCCTATATCAAATGCCCCACCACCTCTACTGGCTTCCCCTTTGAAGGAAAAGAAAGCTTCTGCTTTCAGAGAAAGCTTTCAGAAAAAGACACAATTCAAGTTACGGCAGATATAGGCTGAGATGCAGAAATATGGAGCAGAGACATTATACTTGGGTTTAGGGTAAAGTTCAGAATGAGTGCTATATGCACATGTCCAAGACATCAACCATTCAAAGCTAGCAGCAGAAACAGGATACTATTAAAGAAGAGAGAGAAAAGAATGTCACCTAGAGCCTTAGATAGGCCTATACTGAGTGGGTGTGCCAGGGAAGCAGAGCTACAAAGGAAACTACAAGGCAAAGGAACTATGTTGCTGGAATACCCTGGGAGCCAAAAAGAAGAAAATATCTTAAGAGAAGGAAAATCAACAGTTAAATAAAGTTAAGCTGTATTAATGATTAAGAGGCCACAGGTGGCCACTACTTCAATGGTGGCCTAAGTGACATGCCACACTCACAATTAAGGACCATAAGGACAGAGATATTCTTAAATGAAAGATGGAGGTGACAAGTAAATAGATAAAAATGTGAGGGAAAGGTGATGTCATGGGAAAGCTGATTTGAGAGTAAAAGTTGTCTGAGTATGCTTCTAGCTTAAAATTACTCAGAATACTATGCTGCTCAGAATCAAACTGCTAATAACATAGTTAACTTAAAGGTTTCATGTTATAAAAACTTTAAAGTAAAAACCAATAAAAATTTATCTAAAAAGTATGTTATATTTTTTAGGTACAAATATATGTGAAGCTTGGTTTCTATGATGAATGAACTACCAAGAGTCAATGCTTTTGGGAAACTAAAACAGTGTGAAATACTATTATATAAATATTAAAATTAACCACTAACTTGAAATAAAATAATGGAAAGACAATGAACTGAGAAAGAAAATTTAGGTTTATATCCTATTTTTGACTGTAGTGATATATAATTATCCCAACTGATCACAAGAATTTGGATCTTTCCAAAAGACTTGCATGTGTGCTTCCTCCTCAAGCTTCCAACAGTCAAACGCCATCACCCTACTCAAGCTACAGAGCAAAGAGACAGTACCTAGCCCATACAGCAATGTCTTACTTGGATTGCATGTTGGACCAGCTGGACTCGCCCATCTTTGAGGTGAATCAAACTCACCCCCATCTTCTTCAGGATTTCTAAATGTTCAGGGTTAGTGGCCATAAAATCTCTGGCTCTCAGAGGAGGCTTAGCTCCACTTCTGAAACTCTCCTCTCTGCTGAAAGGAATCAGAAGCAAGGCTTACAACTACACATTGCAAGTAGAGAAATATAAAAATAAAATACGAATAATCTTAGTAAATATTTGCAAAACAGCTAATTTTAGACCTGGTAGAGCTGCAATAATTCATTTTACCCTGCATAATTCTGACTATTAACAAACTGTGCCACTTTCATCCGTGTGTGTGTGTGTGTGTGTGTGTGTGTGTGTGTGTGTGCGCGCACGCGCATGTGCATTTGTGTGTTCCAGTAAACTAGATCATGTATGCTGTCTTTCTCTAAAAACATATTTCTCACAATTTTTTCCAGTTTTAATTTTTAGAAACTATATGCATAGTGGTGTTCTGTCTGCATGTATGTCTGTGCACCATGTGCACACACTGCCATTCAAAGCTAGAGGAGGATGTCACATCCCTAGGTCTAAAGTTACAGAGAGTTGTGAGCTGCTATGTGGGTACAAGAAATTAAACCCGGGTCTTCTGGAAGGGCAGCCAGGGCTCCTAACTGCCGAGCCACCTCACCAGCCCTTACAATATTTTAAAAGCAAAATAATCCTTTCATCAGTGGATAATAATGCCTACTTCATTCTTTTAGCCCCTTGTAGTCAAGAGCCTTTATGATAACTATCTAGATAGAAGAAAATGAGTTTGTTTATAGCCTCCCAAATAAGTTTAGTTACAATCAAGAGTAAGAAGGAATTCTAAAAACAATAAAATACAAACAAAGTAATACAAAACCTCTTTCCACTATGTAGAAACTACAGAGGAAACATCAAGACACACTGAAATAACTGATGAATCTTGTGTCAAAAAATGAGCTAGATAAATTTTAAAACTGTTGTATACTATCTACTATTAAACAAAAATAAAAAAGTTCACATAATTTTTATTCAATAAGAACTCCTATCTCAGTACCTCTGGGCTAAGTGAAAGTCTTTTCAACTATTGTTACAGCTCATTAGGCACAGTTATTTATTATAAATTAACGGTATTAACTATATTATTAAATACAATGGTATTTATTATTAAATAACTATGGCACTAAATATAAAACAATACATCTTACACTCTGATGATGCCTCTTGGACAGCTCTTGTCCACCACGTTTTTCAAGGGTTCACGGATGCTCTGAGCATACAGTGGGTCATTAGGAAAAAGAATCTGAGTATTTGGACAAGTCCAATCAAAATTACTATCATCCAGTTCTGTGTATTCTGAGGTCTAGAACATAAAACAAAATATGTGACTAATAATAATAGAGATACTTAATATTATGGATAAAAAACAAATATTTTTTATTAAACAACAGTGATGTCCTAAAAGAAAATGAGACAATATTGTAAGTAGTCCCCTTCTATCATGCATATATTATCTGAGTTCTAATTATGGGTTACTTCTTACTTAGAAAAATAAAACAAATATATAAAAGTGAAAGGTCATGAAGGCATTTAACTTAAAACTCACTGTGTTCTTCTTCGAGATGCTTCGGTTTGTGGTGGAAAGCCAAAGAGGTAACAGATGAGCTTCTGTTGTAAAGATGTAGTCTTCTATGTCAAAGATGATGTCCTCTTTATCAGCAAATAACAGGTACAGATATTTAAACATTTCAGCCAAGAAGAATGAATCCATTCTAAATTGAAGTCACAAATAAATATTTAAAAATCCAAATATCAGTGATAGAATCAATAAAATACAAAGCGTTTCAACCCTCCATTGTCAAAATAATCTGAACTCCAGTATAACGCAATGGCATAAAAAACCAGAGGAGCTGCCTACCACTACCATTAACCTTATCAAAAATTCATGAAAAGAAACCTGCAAAATATCCCACACAAACACACAAAATTCACACCACTCTAGTTTTTTGTTTGTTTGTCTAAGACAGGGAGCTTTGGCTGTGCTGGAACTGGAATTCTCTCTGTAGATCAGGCTGTCCTTGAACTCAGAGGTTCCTCTGCCTATGCTGGGATTAAGGCCTAAGCCACAATTGCCTGTTTTGATTTTTTAATTTACTTATTTATGTTTTGTTTAAATGTAGGTGTGCTATGTCTGCATGCACCCCTATATACCAGAAGAGAGCATCAGATCCCTTTCTAGAAGGTTGCTGGGAACTGAACTCAGGACTTCTGGAAGAACAGCCTGTATTCTTGACCACTCAGTCATCACCAGCCCCCACACTACTTGTTTAACAGGTTTTCTACTATGGAGAAAACAGCATACACAACAAGTAAACTTCCAGATGACGTTTACTAATGAGACCCACATAAGAATCTTCCAGTCACATTAACACATGGATAAGGAACGTCACTTTGATGACATTTGTTATGCAGGAATTTAAGTAATGAAAAGACTTTAAAGGTATCATTTATAAAAAGTTCCACAAAAGTAAATGCAAAGCCCCAGGACTGTAGGCACAGCTTTGTACAATACTGAGGTCCCAGAGCTGTGAGCTTTTATCTATTTGTTTACTATATAGTTGAGGTGAGAAAGAGGGAAGTATGGACATGCCTTCACAAATAGTTGAATGTTACAACATTTAAAGAGAAATTTAAGTAAATTACATGTCAGGAAAAGACTATATAGGGAGTAGATGGAATTGCAACATCAAATTTAAGTAAATTTACTACCTCCCACAACAAGGCACCAAGGCTTTTGCCTATGGTTTATCTAACAGGTTGCATCCGATCAGACTTCTAGCCAAGCCCAGCTCTTGGCTCATCATAGGTCCTCAGTGATGCTTACTAAAGTGAATGCAAATTGAATGGGCCTTACTAAGAATAATGAGAGTGATGAAGAGCTGGGCTTTACAGATGAAGTTCTTCTGCTAAGGAGGTCGCTGGCCACTGGGACATTATCTAAAGACTGAGACTTCTGTTTCCTGTTCCGCAAAAGGAACAAAAACAGCAGATTACGTATGAGAGAAACCACAGCTCTACTCTTTCCTGTATCTGAACGGCTGTGTGGTGTGCATGGGCAGTCAGAGGCTGACATGGGTGTGTTCTATCACTCTTCACCTTACGATTAGAGAGACAAAGTTTTCCACCACGCCTGGAACTAGTCAGCTGGTTAGACCAGGTGGCCAGTGAGCTCTGAGTGTCCTGCTTCTGCCCCGTGACTCTGGGCTTAGGAACACATGCGAGCAGGCCTGGCTCTTTATGTGGATGCTAGGATCACACTCCTTACGCTGTGCAGCAAGCACTTTACCCACTGCAACGTCTCCTCGTTATCATATTTTAAAACCTTGTAGCTCATTTTTGATGCAAACCTTGTTAGAAAACAACTGTCCTGTGAGTCTGTACTAAGCTTACCACAGCTCTGCCTTTCTGAATGCTACTTTGAAAACTGTGATTGAGGGGTAGATTAGTGAGTAAGGACAGTGAGACTAAGCAAATCTGTGAACTGATTGTAAAACATGTTTTGTAAAATCTAGAAAAGAGTAAGACACAGTTGGATCACTCATCTCTAGGTTCCAGGTGATCTGGTTGTGTCTAAAACCAGAAACATACACACAAACGCAAATGCAGAGGCATTCCCAGGTCTAACATACACGCAAACGCAAATGCAGAGGCATTCCCAGGTCTAACATACACACAAATGCAAATGCAGAGGCATTCCCAGGTCTAACATACACGCAAACGCAAATGCAGAGGCATTCCCCAGGTCTAACATACACACAAATGCAAATGCAGAGGCATTCCCAGGTCTAACATACACACAAACGCAAATGCAGAGGCATTCCCCAGGTCTAACATACACGCAAACGCAAGTGCAGAGGCATTCCCAGGTCTAACATGACCACCAAATTGTTCAGCATTATCTTAAGCACATTACAGCAGGCTCTTCCAAAGATTTTCATTTTTTTTTAATTAGATCATTTTTAGTAATCACATATTACTAGAAAAATACAAATATTTTCTTCTTGAAAATTGTGTGTGTGTGAATGTGTGTGTCTATGTGTATTGCATGTGGATGCTTGTGACTACCAGATAATGCCAGTAGATCTGTAGGGAATATGCACCCAAAGCAAACAGCCTGTCACTAAAGTTCTCAAGTGCCCTGTATGAGGACTGATCATAATCCCAATCCAAAATTCTTCCTCATCAATTAGAGAAATGATATTTCTCTAGGCTGTAGGATACTAAAAACCAGCAGTTCAGCCAAAAGACTCCTGAGATAATATTCAGCTCCAAAACTTTGTCTATAAACAAAATGAAAATTCCCTAGGCTAAATATAAAGTTCGTGGGCTGGAGAGATGGCTCAATGGTTAACAACACTGACTGCTCTTCCAAAGGTCCTAAGTTCAATTCCAAGCAACCACATGGTGGCTCGCAACCATCTGTAATGGGATCTGATGCCCTCTTCTGGTATGTCTGAAGACAGCTACAGTATACTCAAATAAAATAAAATAAAATAAAATAAAATAAAATAAAATAAATCTTAAAAAAAAAGTTCTAAATTCAAGCTTTAAAAAAATCAGCTTCCACGCCTTTAATCCCAGCACTTGGGAGGCAGAGGCAGGTGGATTTCTGAGTTCAAGGCTAGCCTAGTCTACAGAGTGAGTTCCAGGACAGCCAGGGCTCCACAGAGAAACCCTGTCTCGAAACAAAACAAAACAAAACAAAACAAAACAAAACAAAACAAAACAACAACAAAAAAAAATCAGCTTCTCAAGATCAAGGCAGACACTGTGTTTATTGGCAGCCTAGAGCCAGCATCTGACTAGCTGGGTCAGTCACAAATTCACTGAGGTGAACAAAATATAGCTACTGAAACAGAAATGAGCAGATCATAGAGGTTTTTAAAAACAAAACCAAGCACAATGAACAGAACTCTGCATCCTTGGGAGCTCTAGCATTCAGTGTCTCTGTATGTTGCACTGTGGCCCTTGCTAAGGAAAGGGGATGGTGCTTGTTTACCTGTCCTCATGACTCCCGGTGCGAACATCCTTCATGGCAGCAAACCCGCAAGGCACTCGAGCATACTTATTCAAATTTTCAATGAGTGTTTTCCCTACTTCCAGGTAGTAAGGGTCTCCTGTAGCCTATTAAAAGGATAATACGTGTAATGTCTAGACGTAGCACATATGCTGCCATACACCCATTCTCCCATCCAGTAATGACTGAGTGCCTGCGAGATGCCAGGCCTTGTGTTGGGCACACATTACACAGGAAGTAGGTTTGGAAATACACCACAAATTTGATTTGAATTTCAAACAACTGAAACCATAACCTTAGCTTTTAAGTTACATTTCTAAATACTCAAAAGAACTCCCTGGTTGAAGGGAAGAGACTTGCTTTAGGACACAGATCCTCAATATAAAAGTGTTGGGTTTTTTTTGCTTTCTTTTTTGTTCTCATGACCTTTCTTCTTTACAGCAGAGATGTATACAGAGTTCAGAAGGGGCTAATTTATAGATAGTTGGGATCTCAATTTCCTGTGTCTTCTGTTTGGAGATCTAGCCTCTACCTCAGGTCTTTAGAATTATATTTGAAAAGGCATTAAATTCACATCAAATCTTATATCTTTCTATAATTTTATGGGCTACATGAATGCAAATCATGATATATCAAACCATTATAACCACTTTTTATTATAAAACAGCAAGAGAGACAACAAGACGTAGGGAAAAGGCCAAGAATGGTAGGTTATCTTACCTTATATAAGAAGTAGGTACTTTCTGCAAATTCTGGCCTTAAAGGATGCTGAGCCCAATGGACTCTGAAATCTGTAGTAAATGCCTGTACAGAACAACATATAAGTAAGCATCAAACTGTGACTGAAAAATAAACAATCAGTACTAGAATACAAAGCAATATGTATAAAAGGTAAAAGTAATTAATACTCAAGTCAGGGTACACTTTTATCCATAAAATACTATTGTTACTAAAATACTAGTTCATCTTTGGAAAGACTGTTTAGTCAAGCTAAATGAGTTATTTTTCTGTGTGTGCATGCTCATGTCTGTGTGTAATCATAGAAGTACTCATGGAAGGTCAACTCCCGTGTTCCTCAGTGCCTTCCATCTCACCAAGTAGGGTAGGGTGGCTGACCAGTGAGCCCCAGAGAGTCACCTGCCTCTGCCTCTCCAACGCTGGGATTCCAGGTGTGCACTATCCTGCTGAGTTCTAGGGACTGAACTCAGACCTTCATGCTTGCATGGCAAGCACTTCACCAACTGACCCACCTCCACAGCCCTATGTTACCTTCTAAATAACCAACTGGACCAACAATACAATCAGAAAACCTCAATAATGACATTTGGTAGTAGCAATAAATACATCCTATGTTGTTAATAACTGCATTTTCCTCTTGCTTCTTTCCTTTTCCCTCTGAATAATCTGTTGTTCTGATTTTCTTTTAATCTTTTCAGTTGACAAAACTGTTCATGGTGTACAGTATACAGTTTTCATGTACCCACACATGGTGAAACATTAAGTCAAGTCAATTCATATGTTTTATCTAACATAACATTTTTTGAGGACACTTACAATTTACTCTCTTCTATGTATTTTCTGTTCTTTTTATTTTATATACTTTCAAGGATATATTTTTATTGTAGCCTATTTTCTTTTATAATAATGGTCAAATCCTCTGTGAAATGACTCAAGGACTTACTTAAAATTAGTCTATTTAAAATGTAATCAATAACAGTCAACTATGTTCTTAAATTATTTTATTTTATTTTATTTTATTTTGTGTGTATGTCTGTGCTGAATCCCCTGGAATTGGAGTTAAAGATGGTTGTGAGCTGCCATGTGAGATTGAGAATGAAACCTGGGTCCTCTGGAAAATCAGCCAGTGCTCTTACCCACTGAGCCATCCCTTGAGTCTCAATAAGCCAACAGGGATTTTTTGGTGGTTCTGTTTGTTTTTTTAATAAAAAATGGAGAAAACCTTCATCTGTGATCAGTGTATTTAATTGAAACCTCACATAACTTAGCATGAAGATGAGCTTTCTGCAATGCAAAGCCTTGTACTTGAAGGTCAACAAAACTACACTTTCCACAGCGAATGCCTTAAAAAACACCTAACTCTGTTCACAGAGAACAGAAAGAACAAGGCTACAAACAGGGTACAAGATTTATAAAGGTATATTTATGGCAAGCCAAAAAGCAAGCGATCAGTATCCTTTCAAACTAATGTAGCAAAGACATCTATTATGAATGTAATATTGTTTTTAAAAAAGTCATTTTCAGTCAGCATGAAGACATTATCAGTATTTTTAGGGTGAGTGCATGATGACCAAGATTACATCTAATGTACATAGTTTTCACCAAACAAGCTTCAAAATATAAATGATTAGATCTCCCTAGCTGGTGTGCAGCATAAGTCAGAATGAAGGCCAGCAAGATGGCTCAGCGAGTCAAGAGGCTTGCCATGCAGGCCTGACAACCCAAGTTCAATCCCTGGAACACACATGAAAAAGTCCAAGGAGAAAAGGTGACGTCACAATATGCCAATGAGATGAGTTAACACAGGCTGAGGAACAATAAGCTGGGACTTTTAGAGCAGTGTCATCCCTACTCTAAATGAGACTTCTCAACATATAAAGAAAAGCAAAAGGTTATATGTAAATAAAAATACATTTAAGGGAGTAAACATGTCTTAAAGACAAAGACTGACTAAATGTAATCAATAATAGCCAACAGTACTCTCACATTTTCTATTTTATGTGTATAGGTGTTTTGCCTATGTACATATCTGAATCCCCTGGAACTGGAGTTAGAGATGGATCTGAATGACCATGTGGAGCTTTAAATAAGAAATTTAACACACATACACACACACACACACACACGCATGCACATACATGCATACGTGTGTGTGTGTGTGTGTGTGTGTGTGTGTGTGTGTAGGAGAATTTCAATTATTAGCTTACCTCCGGTAGAAAATTGTGTTTTTTAATCACCTGGTATAACATTTCATGAGTTTCAATAGCAGGTCTAATATCACCCTTTAAGACCTAGACATAAACAACAAAATCATTTAATAAAGCATGAGTTAATTTCATCTATAACCATGACATTACAAGGTTAGTACAGCCTTGAAATGATCACTTTTATCATTTGGATCTTAGCGATCACAAATGTACTTAGTTAAAATAAATTTATTCTAATATGAAGAAAATGGGTTTCTTTACCTGCAAACCTGGAAAAAAGGCAAGCAATGCATCCATCCAGGTCCGAGCATTCAGCATTGGTTTGTGGATATGCACATCAAGCAGGAGAGGTGGCTGGCTAATATATCTCATTATGGCATCGTAATGCTGAAAGATCGTAACAAAATGTTCATGAAAGTAAATGTAAAAATATATATAATACAGTAAAATAATTATGTCTGAATATATAAAGATATATAGATAAACTCCTTATATGCTAATTGATTATGTAAATATTTAGGTGAAAGAAATTATACATACCTCTCAGTCATATGCAGAAGTATGGGTATAGTTCAATGGAAGGACATTTGTCTAGCATGCCCAAGGTGTCAAACCTAAGCCACACCACATGAGTGCACGAGCACACAGAGAAAAAGAGAGAGAAACACACACACAGAAAGAGAGAGAGAACAACTCATACAAACAGCTACTAAGGTGTTAAACGAGAGAAGGGTGGGAGGGAGAGAGCGATATATAACAGCTCATACAAACAACTACTAAGATGTTGACCAAGACTGGATGCAGTGCTAAGTGCCCACACTGTCAAACCTGGGTAGCCGAGGTAGAGGAACAAGAGTCCAAAGGTACTGTAGGCCACACACATGATCCTGGACCTTTCCAAGGCAGAATATTAAACCCTACAACTAACATGAGACCTCCTGGGGCTGTACAAACATGAGGACCTGAGTCCGGACACCCAGCATCCATGTAACAGAGCCGAGTGCAGCACCATTCTCTAGCCCAGTGGCTTAGGAGGTAAGACAGGAAGATCCCTCACTAGCCCAGCCAGTCTAGCCAAATTGAGGAAGTCTGGGTTTGGTGAAGAGATTCTGTCTCACTAAGCAATTGAAGGCGACATTCAACATGGGCTTCTGGCCTCCACACACATGCACATACACTTGAGCATATATGAACACATATAGAAAGCAAAAGCGGGGCAGGGTCTTCTGAGAAACAGATGTAAACATCTTGATCTACTATGTGACCAGCTCATGGTTTGGATGCCTGTGTGGCCCACTGATGTTCTCTGGTCCCCCTGGAACAAAGTCACAGTTTCCATCTTATAGAGTTTAGAACTGTGGTCTCTTCTCAGCTAGCCCAATATTCCAGTACTTACTACCACTAACACTAATGCCCAGTCCCTGCTACCACTCTCACGCTCTGCTGCCTCTGCCTTTTCTGTTACTGGAGATGCCTTCCCCCTTCTTTAACAGCTTCCATATGTATGCCTCATCTCTGAAAACAGGACAACTTGTATTAATGAGCCAAAGAACCCAAGTCACTGACTTAATTCTTATCTAAAAGAAAATAAAATCTGATTTCAACAGTTTTTTAAGTACTCAAAAACGGACTAGGATTTTTTTATTTATTTTTATTTTATGTGTATGTGTGAGTGCCTGAATGCATATTTGTGTACCACATGCATGCTTGGTGCCTGGAAAGGCCAGACAAAGACACAGGATCACCGGGAACTAGTGTTAAGAGGGTCATGAGCAACCATGTGGGTGTTGGGAACTGAACCCAGGTTCTCTGTCAAAGTAGCAAGCGCTCTTAACAACTGAGACATCTCTTCAACCCTAATTTAAGCTGTTTTGCTAGCTCATCTGGTGTTTAATCGCTATTACTGACAATTTTTAGTTAGCTATGTTCTAATCACTGGGTCTATAAAAACTCTTGTAACCTCCCAAAATAAAAGGCAACCAGAGATGCTCACAAAGTCAGTATGCTGCCCAAACAGGATATAAACCAAGATCTTTCTACTACTTTTAACTACATTATCAAAATGTCACATATAAAAGGCACATGAACTAATGGGTGGGCCAAAAAAAGGAAATTGTATCTAAATGAATATAGTGACATGGCTGATGAGTTTGCTACATTAATCTCAGCTTGCTTCAATTATGAACAGCCCACAATGCATCCAACCATCTCCTTCCCTGAAGCCTCTATGTGTGGTTCTTATGGTCCATTCTGAAGACACCATCTTTTGGAATGTATACGCACTACCCAAAATCTGATTGGCTGGTATGATCAAAGACTAGGTCAAACTTCCAACATTTCAAATAGAACTGGAACCCAAAAGGAGAAAGCTAGCTGTATCTCATTCCAGTAACTGCCTTCTTTGTTCAAAACAAGATTAGGTAAAACCCAAATCTACCTATTTTGACCTACATTGCCAGATTTAGAAATTTTCTGGTAAAAGATGAGGAGATTACTTTGTGGATGTGTTCCATTTGCATGCTGCCTTGCCCAATGCCATCAGTGAGAGCTGACAAAACACTACAACACATTTTAAGACAAGTTGTTTCAAGAATATCATTTAGGTTGTTAAGTTTTCATCAAACTTGAGCTTGTGAAATTAGTTACAAAATTAATAGGAAAATAAATCAACTTACTGTATTAAATCTTTCCAGAAAACTGTCATCTCCAAGCAAGACATAGGCTTTCAACAGATACTCATAATAGGAGTCGATCCCTGCTCCAACTCCACTATCTATAGGAAACACACATAAAGGTGGTCCTTTATTAAACATGTCTGAAACTCAGAGTTCAAATGAGGACAGTAGTGCAGCAGAAGGAAATTAGATGCTAACATGAAACTCTTTACTGTAGCAACTGCACATCATGAAATTACACATCAACATGAAACTCTACTGTAACAACTGCACGTCTCTAGAATTACGACCCTGCTTTGTGAAAAACAGCTCCCTTGCAAATAATAATTTATTGTTAAAAGGTTGCTATATGAAATTGATTACAATTTTTCTTATTTAGGAAAAAGAGCTATCACCATGTCTATGTTATATGGAGGATAGTTAACAGTGATTCATCCAACACAAATTGAAAAATCTAAAAAAACAGAAACCAAATTTAACAATTAAAAGCATTTTAAATTTAAAAGGCCCAAAAAATGCTAAAGGAAAGAAGAAAACTAATACCTAAAATTGTAACAACTTTTTTTAAGTTTTTTACTGTTTTTGTTATCTATAATCTTCCAGAAAGAAAGGACAGACCATATATTAAGGGGATAGAAATAAGAACAATATCACATTCTTAACAGGATGTTTGAAACTAAGAGTTGTGTTTTAAAAACTTGATGGAAAGTAACTTAAGCCAAGAATTACACACAGCTAAGCCATCACTCCAATATTAAAATAATCAACAACTATAGAAGTACAACTTTGGTGCTCAGGGAACACTACTGCACACAGTTTGCATGCTGTACAATCACTTCTGTTACCTCACACTGGTTTCAAGACTCATGGGGATGCCAGAACCCAAAGATGCCCAAGTGTCATTTTAATGGTGTAAACTGGCACAGTCTCACATATTTTGAGCAATCTCCAAATTCATTTTAACACAAAGTATAATGTACAAAGGATATACATGCTTATTATACCGTACTGTTTAGAGACAATAAATATTCATATGTTTAGAACAGATGCAATTTTACCCCCTGAATATTCTCCACGTGTGGGTGACTGAATACTGGAGCAGAACCCATATATACAGATACTAATTAATTAAGAGATAATTCATGTATGTTAAGTGATACTCAAAATACAAGTAAGCAAATACCTCAGTGAAGCTTGCTGCTATTCAAACAGTGAAGGAGGGAGCATAAGAGGGGAGAGACGGAGAAAGAAAACAACAAACCCCAAAGAAAACAGAGACACCAGATACTCAGAACTATCACCATAACAGAAAGGATTGGGGAGGAGGAGACAAAGGGATCAGAGAATACACTCAGTTTGTCTTTAGAGACAAGACATCAAAAACAAGAGGATAAAAAAAAAAAACTAGAAAAAAATGCAACATACTGAAAAAACATAAAAGTAGCATAAGCTTATATGTATTAAAATATCAACAGATTAAAAAAGGTAAAATCTGTTGAGATGTGTGCAAATCATATAAAGGACACATTTAGAGTGTAAACACCTGTAGAGGGGAAAGTAGAGTGAGGAGAGGTGTGTCTGGTAAACACTGCAAGACAAAGTGGAGACAGCTGCTCAGAGACAGGACTAGCAATCAAGGAGATCCCTGCATAGTGACAAAGGATTCAGCCAAGAAGAGACAGCAATTTAAAATGAATGCCCCCATCGTACCCAATGGAACACATATAAAAATCATTGCTAAGAATCGTCTAATTTTTGATAGGTTAAACAAACAGGTAATTAGTACGGTCTATGCATTACTGATAATTTGGGTAGAAATGTAAATTAGCCCAGCTACTATGAAACTCAGTATGGATTTAAAATTTTAAAGATTCCACTCTTCTGACCAGAAGAAAATATCTTTTTCTTAACAGGCATCCAATACCACTATAATATTCTCCTCTCTGAAGACATAACCCTAAAATCATTTACTAGACAGCTGAAATGGAAGAGTAGATAAAGCCCATCTTCACCATGAAAACCCAGAGATCGTTTCAAAGCTGTTCACCAGATGGGATGAGTGTCTGGACTAGAGTTCAAGTCCTGCCCTTGTGTCTACAAGACAGGAGTGCTCATTTGGGAAAAAATAAGAAATCAGAGCTCTCTTCAGACACTTCCTAGCCAGAAAACCAAGGGAATATCTGAAACTGCTCCACTTGGATTTCCTGTCCTGAGCTGCCTGTGCACAGACTTCTCCCTTAAGAGTTACATCAGTTGGGTTGGTCAATCAATTGATGAAGATGTCACCCTGTACAATGGCTGATTTGCTTTAAGCCATACTAAAGAGATGGGAGGAATAATTATCCCTTTAATGAGATAATGTGGCCTTCCCAGAAGCCCTACCTTCTGTATAGTCACAGCACCACAGCCATGGAACTTTGTTAAGTGTGCCAGCTTTTCTGAGTTTCTTCTCTTCTATCTCTTTTTAAGTATGTTTTCCCTAACACATTGAGCTGCATTCTTTCTCTGAAGCTCCCCTGCTTGTCTGTCATATGTCTAATTTTCACTGTGGCTTAACTCAAATGGCACAGCTTTCTCTTTCCCTTCAAAATCTTCCTCCTCCAGGCAGCTGCTAAGATTTATAGCTTTCCTGGAAATTTCAATTAAACAGTCCTCACAATTAGGGGGTGGGGGTGGGGGTGGGGGACAGAGAGAGAAACAGAGACAGACAAACAGAGAGGGAAAGAAAGAAGGAGAAGGGGAGAATGGGAGAAAGAAAATAAAGCCTTTAAAAAATAAGACTACCATATGATCCTGCTATAACTCTCCTGGGTATATATCTGACTAGTCAAAACTGGCACATAATAGAGATAGCTACATACTGATATTTACTGCAGCTCTGTTTGCAATCACCAAGCTACAGAAATAACCTAGGTGCTCATAAACAAATGAACAGTTAAAGTCTGAGTGCATGTGTGTGCGTGCATGCGTGTGCTCAGCCACAAAGAATTACGCTGTGTGGCAGTTTGCACAAGAATGACTGATCCCTATTGGCCCGTATTTTCAAATGCTTAGTCACTGGGAACTATTTGAGAATGATAAGGAGGTTTGGGCCTTGTGAAACGTAGGTGTGGCCTTCTTGTGTCACTGGAGGGGGGCCTTGATTCAAAACTCCTGTGGACCTGAATGCAGAACTCTCAGCTATTCTGTACTATGCCTGTGTACCTCCATGCTCTCCTATGGTGATAACGGACTAAGCCCCTGAGCAAGCCCCTAATTAAACGCTTTCTTTTATAAGAGCCTTGGTCTTGGTATCTCTTCACAGCAAGTAAGCACTGATTAAGATGTGGTATTCAGAAAACAAGAATCATATGCTTTCACTCACATGTAGAAACCAGGTGTGTGCAGAGTGAGAGAAGAGTGAACATGACACGTATGTATGCCTGAAAACGGCACACTGAAGCCCAGTACTTTGTGTAATGCACCAATAAAACAAAAAATTAACTGAGGAAACTGATGTGTACAGAACTCTACAAATAAGAATTAGAAAAAATATTCTTTCCTAAATCTGTAAGAAACATTTACACACTGCCCATGTTTTAGGTCAAAAAGAACACTTGAGCCGGGCAGTGGTGGCTTTAATCCCAGCACTTGGGAGGCAGAGGCAGGTGGATTTCTGAGTTTCAGGCCAGCCTGGTCTACAGAGTGAGTTCCAGGACAGCCACAGCTCCACAGAGAAACCCTGTCTCGAAAAACAAACAAACAAACAAACAAAAGAACACTTGATAAATTTTAGAGCAGGTACCAGCATATAGGCACTGTACAGACCACCAAATCACAGGTTAACTGAATAAAAACCATATTTATAAGATGGAAACGGAGAAAAGCTGGTGAAAGTGACATTACAAAGGAAAAGATCCTAATGGGAGAGCACCCGCCATAAACTGGAAGAGGGCACACAGAGACATACAATTCACAAACAGCAGCAGCCATGTATGGACAATTCAGCCACTTTTTAAATCGCAATCTAACCAAAATGCAAATGGTAAACACAAAAGCATATAATTTTAACATAATCAAACAGGGCTGGGGACACAGCTCAGTGGTAGAGCACTTGCCTAGGTAGGCGAAGACTTGGATTTGATTCCCTAGTACCAAAAAACCAAAAAAAAAAAAAAAAAAAAAAAAAAAACCTAAACCACATGAGGTGGCATTTTGATCCTCACTTGGTTTGACCACCAATGATGTCAAATGTCTTCATGTTTATTGGCTTGCTTATTTATTTGTTTCTTGGTACTCCTACAGTGTTCTCACACTCTAAAAGGCTGGCAATGAGGTGTTAGAGAAGATGCCAGCACACGGCTCTCTTATTTGCTGCTATTAAAGCATATAGAAGTGAAATAAATTGGAATTACAACTTATATCCTAAAGTGGAGAACATTAACTTACACTATTATCTAAAATTTTTACTCCTAGATATATAGTTAAGAGAAACTTACGCATGGACAAGGAGTAACTTCACAACGTTACTAATACCAATGATCACATCAGCAAAAGCTTTGAAAAACCTCAAGTGTCCGTTAACTGGTTTATTACTGTAGCATTCGAAAACTGTGAGTTACTTCACATTGCAGTAAGGATGAGTCTTACTAATGTATTATTAAGCCGAAAAAAGTCTCAAAGAGACATACAATATGCTATACTTTATGACGTATAAAGTATGAAGTTGTGCTATGAAGCTTAAACAAAACAAGAATACACTTCTTAGGAATATCTAGATGTGAAAATTTTCATTAAGAGGAAAGCAAAACAACACTAAATGTGAGAAACCCGGCTTCTTCACTTGGGAGGAAGCAGCAGTATAAGGGTCGGAGCAGAAGCAAGGACCACATACAACAGGACTGTGCCTGAGCCTTACCGTTGCAATGCTGCATAGAAGGCACTTAGTATTAAAGAGGACTAATTAAATGGGTTGAGCCTGAACCAATGATCATGCTAGAAATCAGAAATTACAAGGAATTCAAGAAGATTATAAAAACCAAAAAAAAAAAAAAAGTTTAGGAAAATTGCAGAATTATAAAGTAAGTTCTCAGGGACCATTTAAACAAACTAGAAAAAACTGAATAATACTAAATATAAGTGTTACACTTATTTTAGTTGTTGGATTAATAATTATAGATTTTTGTTTTGTTTTGTTTTGTTTTTTTGGTTTTTCGAGACAGGGTTTCTCTGTGTAGCCCTGGCTGTCCTGGAACTCACTCTGTAGACCAGGCTAGCCTCGAACTCTCGAACTCAGAAATCCGCCTGCCTCTGCCTCCCAAGTGCTGGGATTAAAGGCATGCACCACCACCGCCCGGCTATAATTACAGATTCTATTTATTTAAATGTAACTTTTTTTTAGACACAAACAAAATTAATAAAACTGATAAACCTGGGTATATTAACCACTCCAGGACAGGTCTCAAGTGTTCAGGAGTAGTTGACAAAGGAGTAAATGGACTGCAGTTTTTGTGTGTGTGTGTGGTTTTTTTTCTCTTTTTGGGGTATTGTTGTATTTTGTTTTCTAGGGTTTGTTGTAGTACTGGAGTTTGGTGTGTCTTTTAAGAAACAATTTAAATCTGAGTGAGTAGGGAGGAGGAGAGGCTCTGGAAGAACTTGGGGGAAGGGAAGAATAAATTTAAAATTGTTCTAAATGATAAAAATATAATTAAAAAAAAGAAAATATAGACAGAGAAGAAAATGACCATTCCCGCCCAGCAGTGTGGACACACATTATAAACGTATAGTGGAATAGAATTACTGACAGCATATTTGTATGTGGGTGCTTCCTGCCCACCTGTCTTTGGTCCTGCCAGCCCTTGCTATAGCCTACGTCTGCAGTATTTCTGTGCCAGCAATCACCCACAGCTCTCAGGAAGGAGTTTATGAGGCACCTGCCACTTTCGCAGCCCCCAGGAGCTCTCCAGGCATGAGACCCTGGTGCTATCCGAGTCACTCCTCTGCAACCACCATAGCTAACAAAGCTGCCATCCTTCTCCCCTTCTCCCAGAACAAGCTGCCATGTGGAGTGCTATGCCTTAACGGTTTATAGGACTTCAGAAAAACTACTTGCCTGGCACTCAGAGTTAGTCGCTTCCATCCCTACATGATTTGGAACTGAGTCTAATGGAGGCCTAGCAGGGAGCCACAGAGTGCTTCCTGTTGCCAGGGACCAAACCTCTCACTAGGTAGAACTCTAATGGCTTCGGGGATGGAGGCTCATCTTGCAAATTTGGGCAAATAATCTGAAACCACTGTTACAAAGCCAAAAGACTAAGGACACGTTCAGATGAAAATAGAAACCAGAACACTAAATATAAATAAAAATTTTGGCACATTGCCTGAGACACAACAAAGATTAACTTTAAAGCTGACAGCTATTCACATTAAAATTTTTTCTCTTTAAAATATTATAGTATGTATATTTCTTATATATTTTATTGTTAATCATTCTTTACAATAAAAGAAAAACAACATCTGAATGAGATAACCTAGATTCAAATACATCAAATACAAATATGGTACATGTTCATTTGTATGTGGATTTTTGTACGTGTAATGGAGTCATCCATTAGTCAGCAACATCCATATAACTTCAGTGTTAGGTACAGAGTAAGGGACTGGGTGGAGAACTGGGTCACCCTAGAAAGGTGAAACAGACAATTACGGATGAGCAGGGTGAGGGGTGGGGAGCTGATATGGAAGGATCAGATGGGGAGGGAGACAGAAGAGAGGGATCAGGGAAGGAATATGGGGAGGAACAAAAATTATATAATATTAAATATAAGCAAGACATTTATTTTAATTGTCAGGTTAATAAATTCATTAATTTTTATTTATAGGCAGGTACTTAATTTGTACTTATAGACAAATAAGACAAGCCTTTTGTAAAGCAGAGAAACATAAAAGATAACCTCATTAGGAACATTCCAGTGTATTTCCATTCTACAGTGCTTGTCTAGTAGGGGAGTTTTAAAACATAAAATATTCGTTATCTGATACCAGATATTATTTGCTCATGTTTCTTTCCCTGATTCTAATTTTAAAAACTTAATACTGTGACATGTAGAATACAAATTTCTAAGTTATTATGTTAGTATCACTTAATTCTGTTTTCCAGTATTATAAATAAATATGTGATAAATATCTTTGAAAACAAATTTCCTGTATGTTTATACTATTTCCTCAGGCTAGATTCCAGAAGTAAAGTCATTAGTCAGAGGGACTATCAGTGACTTTTCATAGTAAGTACACACATGCCAGTAAGTATACATGCCAGGACTGTTCTCAGGATTCCAAGTCAAGTCATTTAACCTTCACAGTAACTCTGAAGTAGTTCTAATGCCTCATCTTACAGTGATGGATACAGACAAACATAAGTTACACAATGTGCCCAAGATCATACAGCTTAAATTCCAACAATATGACTCCAGAGTCTATGTTCCAGTCTACACACACACACACACACACACACACACACACACAGAGAGAGAGAGAGAGAGAGAGAGAGAGAGAGAGAGAGAGAGAGAGA